GAATATAATTTTGTCTCATTATAAATTTGCTTGAAGGGAAAAGAATATGACATGCATGTCACCTATTCTTGTATACATTGAAAATGTTTTAGCTTGGCAGCTTTTAGCATAGAACCAAATACTTTTTACCATACCAATTATTTCTTCTTTGAGACATTGACCAGTAAATCTTTTATTCTAAGTGTATTTTTAGCAATATAAAATTGAAAACAATTAGCCTAATAGAGGAGAATTGTTCAATCAAATGCTCATGTTTTTCTCAGTATGAAAAGAGAATCTAAATTCGCCTCATTCACCATGCAGGCAGAACTGTATTTCTGGATGGCTGCCAGTTTCTCAGCTGAACAGTTCTGGCAGTCTGTCTGATGAATGATACCACAGCCTCGTAATCTGAGTGCTCAGCAGAGTGCTCATGAAAGCAGCACAACAGCAACAGCTGCTGGAAGGGAATTGATTTAGGAGACTTGATTTAGCAATAGAGTTCAAGGTTTTCAGCCCAGTGGCTTCAGCCTGTCTTTGCTGGTCATGTTGATTATGTACTACTCAATCCAGGAGGTGCCATTTACGTTGTAGTATATGTGTGGTTGTTGCCCACTAAGTCATACTGAGAGAAAAGTGACCTATAAATTATACACTCCCCATTTACTGCCACTTTCAGTTGTGTGAAGAATGATTCAGTGCAGCTACAGGAGACCACTTCCATTTTAATGCCACCTGCCTAACACATATAGTTTTAAAGATATAAAAACAGTAAAAATTATTATGCTAATAGCAAATATTATCTGTAGCTCACTATGTACCGTGTACTCTTCTAAATGCTTCATGTTGGTCCCTGGTTTAATCTTCCCAACATCACAGCGAAGTAGATGGAATTATTTTCTCCATTTCAAGGTCACACAGCTAGTATTTGGTAGAACTGGGATTTAGACACAGGCCTTCTGGCTTCAGTGTAGATACTGCCTTTCAAGCCAGTCCATGAAACACCTGATTGGGTGGCTCATGTCAGTAACCCTAGCACTTTGGGATGCTGAAGCAGCAGCAGTGTTTGAGCCCAGGAATTTGAGACCAGCCAGAACAATATAAGTGAGACCCTGTCTCTACAAAAAAACAAAAAACAAAAAAAACATTAACAGTTAGCTGAGGCATGGTGGTGTATGCCTGTAGTCCCAGCTACATTGGGAGCCTGTGGTAGGAGGGTCACTTGAGCTCAGGATATCGAGGCTGCAGTGAGCAGTGATCAAGCCACTGCACTCCAGCCTGGGTAACAGAGTGAGACTCTGTGTCATAAATAGAATGTTTTGTATACAGATTCCCATAGAATCAAGTTAGACATCAGGCATAGAATTATTAGCCACTTTGATGTCTGTCTTGGAAATAAAACATGTAATAAGGGAAAGCTTTAAACCATATCAATCAATAGCCTCTAACTTCTCCAGAAGGTTCTTATTTCATGAATTTTTAAGCAAGAGACTACCTAGATTAAGACATTTGGTGGACACCATTTTGAGATTAAAAAATCTCAATTGGGAAGAAGGAAGACCGCTACTTGACTGGAGCTTTTCAATAATATAGTTGAGTGTCCCCCTGAAAGAAACCATAGAAGATATTCATCATGCCATATCTTTATGGAAAAGGGAATTCTTCAAAAGAAAACAAGGGCAAATAATTGATAATCTAATTCTCATGAAAAAGTTTTTAGTATAAAAGAAAAAAAGGGCTGGGCACAGTGGCTCGTGCCTGTAATCCCAACACTTTGGGAGGCTGAGGTGGGTGAATTACCTCCTGAGGTTAGGAGTTCAAGAACAGTCTGGCCAACATGGTGAAACCCTGTCTCTACTAAAATACAAAAATTAGCTAGGCGTGGTGGTGTGCACCTGTAGTCCCAGCTACTTGGGAGGCTGAGGCAGGAGAATCACTTGAACCCAGGAGGTGGAAGTTGCAGTGAGCCAAGATGATGCTACTGCACTCTAGCCTAGATGACTGAGTGTGACTCCATCTCAAAAATAAAGAAAAAAAGAAAGAAGAAAAGAACAAAGTATACTAGTCCAGAAAAGAATGAAAATGCACAAAGTATACTGGTCAATATCCTAAGAGTGAGACTGTCCCTCTTCGAGATTAAAAAAAAACCAAACACTATACTCAAAATAACACCGATAAGAATCAACATAAAATAGACAAGATTCACTATCTACAAAAGTAATCTGC